AAAAGCCTCTCTCCCCCCATGAACTCATTAACAGACACTGATGTTGTGTGTTGCACCAAAATGCTTGACTTCTTCAGGAATTCAAACACCCCTCCAGAGCAAATGTGCNACAATAGATCCGCCTTTGGAGGAGAAATAGAGGCCATTAGGATAGCACTATGCCAATTATGTTGTCTGGGTACGAAANGCCAGAAGCTCGAAACTTCGTCGAAGCCATGCTAACCAAGGTTCATGCTGAGGGATATTGGCGCCAACGTCGCTTGGCGCAGAAAACAACTCATTTAGACGGGGTTCCAGCGGCTTGAGTCTCTCATAACACTTTTCTAATTTACGCGATCGTCGCTAAAATGAAGAAAAAAACCATATTAGAAGAATACACGTGATGGCAAAACGCGGAAATAAACAGTTTACTTAATTGGAAAACATTGGACTCCTTTAAATACAATTATGGACAAGTCGTCAGAAACATGGCGGTCAGTGGGAGTGCATATGTGTGTACTAGTCTTCGCTCTCTTCGACTCAGATGATGTCAGTGTGGGGTGTGTGATAGACTTACCTCCACGCGGTGCACCCTGGGCAACGTATACTCACACGGCAAAACAAGTCTATTAACTGGCAGTTGACTACTCACTTCAAACTACCATCACCTCACTCTATGCCTAATTCGACTATTTCCACAGTACTCACCTCACCTTTGTTCTACCTATGTGTTTGTCTCTTACATCTTTGAAACACTCTTCTGTTCCCCTCCCCCTCTCAACTTTTTTAAATTTGATGTTTCTTCCCCTCTGTGAAGCCTGAAGTCAACTAAAGGGCTAATGATAACCATCAAGATGCCTGCCATTTGATATAAATAAATAAATGATGTCAGTGTCATTGGTAACTGGATGACTTGACTATTTCAACAAATTATTTAAAGGCCAAGATGGTGAAGGTTAAGATATGTTCAGACAGACGAAATAAAAACATTTGCAGTAGTTATTCAATAGTGTGAAATGCTGTCATTTTTCAATAGAAGCAGGAAGCAGGCTGAAGGATCACTATCAAAAACTTTCGTCCAAGTAACCTCAAACCAAGAGTTCATTTAATTAATGCTATATGAAATTATATCGACGTATGAATGCATGAGAAAAATAAGTTCAAGAGCAAAATTTCACACCCATGGGCCCAAAGCACAGAGGTAGGTTATCGTTCATCGATTTTAACTCGCGTCTACAATGCGGTGAACCAGCCATTTTGCCCGTGTTTATGTAAAGACATTTGGTATCAACGCTAGTTCTTTCTTCGTTTTCTCTCTAACCCCCCAACGCCCCCCCCCCCCCCCCTCCTCCAGTGTTCATAACGTCTCATTTCTTCCAACTCTGAAAGCCGTTGCCCAATACAAGTTGGCTTTTCTAAAACCTGGCATTATTATTTAAAAAAACTGGCCTTACTATATAAACGAAGTGATGACAAGAGTTCAGCAAAGTTCAACGAAATTAAGCGCCTAAAATTCAATGAAAAAGGAGTCATTATCTCGGGAGAAATCCTTTCGAATATTGCTAATCAACCGAAATTATAAATGCAAGTGTGCTATCTTAAGCCGCCTTCTGAAATGCAACTGTAGTCACAGCTACGCAGGCAAAATCAATTAATTTAATGAATTGACTTAATTTGGACGTCTGCGAATTGACTTCCTGTTTCCTGAAGTCTATTCGGCAAATAAGGCAACTAATGCCCACAATACCAACCATCCCAGTTTTACATTAAAAACGATATCCACGACACAGAAAGCATTCACAGCTCTTACCTTAAGATAATTCCATCTTATTAAGTTTGCTTTCCGTGGAAGATCTCTATCTACTCTTGGATCCAGTTGTTTAGAGCTACTTGGACTATGATCACTTTCCTCGTAGTCTGAAGTGCCTAAGCCCGAATCATCACACTCCGTAGGAGTAGTAGGAGGGACAGAGTCGTTCTCCAATTTAACATGGCGATTCTCAATAAGAAAGTGTAGATTTGTAATAGCGTGTAGTATCTGGCAAGAATCAGCCCGAATTTCAAAATTCGACGCCAATTCATTGGCTTTTTTTAATACCCCACGGTAGCAGTTAGCTGCTTGCTCGTACTAAAAGATAGAAGAAGGCGTCATAGAGATCGAAATGGTAAACAATAAAGTAATAAAAAAGTATCGTAACCTACCTCCCCTTTTATAATATGGCATGCAGCGGCTTCTGCTTTATTAGCTATCCACGAACGAAGTAAATTTTCACATTGGACCTGTTCATCATTGCCTACCCTTCGAAGTACCTCCGTCATACTTGAATAAATATTAAGTAGCAAGTAAAAATATGGTTTTCTTCCCACATAGCAAGGAACAATAATAGGAGAGACTGTTCAGAGTATTGCTCGGCAGATAAACCTGTTAAGTTCACACAGCTGGGGTAAAATTCATTTCTAAGTTCTAGCAAGACAACTTGACGCAAAATTACAAAATCAAAACAGAGTATGTGAGCAATATGAGATAGCAAAAAAATTAAATGCAAACACATTTATCAAAATTGAGTAACTCTAAAACCCTACACACACACACATTTAGATTTTACTAAGGAGACTGATCAAATATTACAGCAGAGTTCTAACCTGTATATATTTTTAGTCCTCGCCACTTGCAAAGTCAGTCTCGTTTCATTGGGATCAGATTCTACTAAACGCTTTTTACCCCTAGTGAAGACGTATCTCGGAGAAGTGATCACCAAGCTAGGATGTGTGCAAGCCTGTCGAGCCCTGGTGACACTGGTTAGAATCCTGCTTTGGAAATCAGAGGGATGCAATGTCATTGGAACAGTGAGATTTAAGTTGGGCCATTTAATAAGCGCTTGCTCAATGGCTTTAGAGCACTCATGCAATATTTTTCTATAGATATATTCCTCGGCAGGGGTGAATTTAATCAAATGGAACTCTGTTTTAATAGGTGGAAGAGCAAGTTGAGCGCCCACTCGAGCCTTGGTATTTCTAAAAAGGAGATTTGAAAAGAGGCGAACAAGCATCGTAGAAGCAAGTGCCTTCGAGTCAGAAGCACTCGTTCGAAGTGTTCGGAGAAAAGGTTGATGAAGAAGAGCATTCCAATAATGCTGAGAAGTGAAGGGTTCCACGCGAAGGAAAGCCAAGAGACCGTAAAAGTCTACAGGGCGGGGGATAATTAATCAGTTACACAAGTCACGACTATTAATACTACTAGAAAAGACACTCATTACTCACCTGAAAGTCTAGTTTCAGCTGGAGTGCCCGTGATACACCACCGATTAACGGCATCAACTTCGCATAGCATTTTTGCAATTTTGGAAGTAACGCTTTCAGCCATTTGAGCTTCATCAATGCATATCTAAATAGGACACAAATATTTCCTAGCTATATCAGAGAATTCCCAGGGGCAACCTTCATGAAAGAAAATCTCACCTATAAGTTGCAAGGAAAAGCTTTCATAGTTATCTTTTTGGTAAATCGCCTTCTGATACCAAGTAGACATAGAAAGAAACCTATGTGCACAGTGGTGCCCAAAGAAGATTCGTTAAGCTTTAGCGGTTAAAACTCCCTACAACGTAAATTTCAGTTTCTGAACCCGCAACCTCCATCTTCAAGGAAATTCAAGCGAAAAAAATTGAAGAATAAAACTGTGAAATGAATGAGATCGTTCGTTGAAAATCTATGCTCATACAATATTGGTACGATCAGTTTAACTCAGGCCCAAAGATCAAGAAGAGCTCTCGATTGCTTCAAGCGTAAGAGCGTTCATTTACAAATTCAATACGGATCTTTTCACTTGAAAGTGCAACCCAGTAGTGAAGATGAAAAATTATTAATGTTATAAAAATATCTCTAACGTTCCCAAATTTACTCCAACAGTTATGGTTAGGAATCCGTATAAAATAATGGACAATGGTTTTACCAATTAATGAACTTATTACTACCTACTACCAGCAATCATGATTGGTTGATTACTAGGATGTCATTTATGAAAATAAATATCATCAAGGAAAAGATCCATCTCGGATAAAGAGATAGAGAATTAATGACATGTTTATTTACTTCTACGCTGCCAGTCTACAAATAGATATCACAGTTGCTTAGGCTATGCAATATTTTGAGCTGTAATACTATAAAGGTCTAGTGACCAGAATCAGTCAGACATCTCAAACACGGGTTGCCCACCGATGAGCATCGATCACGTGGATTTTAGATTGGCAGATGAGTAGCTTGATCAATACGTATCAAAATCGACGTACAAATTTTAAATAAGACGTGAAAATAAACACTACTAATATGCTATAAGTAAGAATGACTTACTCTCCACCATTTAATACACTTCAATGGACTTGGAGGCTGCAGGTAGCGCGTGCCTTTCCTGGAGAACCTTTCCTGGCTGGCTTCGGCATAAGAGAGTTCCCTTTTAAGGACTGAGTAAGAAGTGATTACAATGTCTTTGGTAGCTAAATTGACGGGTTGATAGTACCGATCTTTCAAGCAATTCACTCCATAATATAGCTGGAAGGTAAAATGTAACATTAATTAGCCGTGCAAAAGATGAATATATAAACTATTAATGTATCAAGAATAAAATTAATAAATACGTAAAACCGTTACAAGTATTTCATTTTTTAAAACAAACGCTCTTTATTCATAAAAAAACAAGCACTTTTAACTGAAAATTTGGCGACAAACAAGTGTAGATACACTGACCTGGGAGAAGTACACATTGAACACCGATAAGACACTGCAAAAGCATAATATTTGATTACGAATTTCTCCCTATGCACTTCAAGAGTGTTTAAAGGTTGATTTAGTAGAGTAAATTTTTCAAACGAATAACCAGTTAAGAGAGAAAAAGAAAAGCGATACGAAATTCACCCGCTTAACCACCAATCCTAATTAGCCTATAATTTTAAATAGTACTCTTAAATGTCCGAAATAATAAGTTAATTCCCACGCAATTGGATGACCGTATTTTCGTACTCGAAAGGGCTATCTTTCACCTTCAGAAAAAAAGGAATTTACTGCCATTTATTTTAAGCTAAAGAAATCCCCATAAAAGTCATTGTGAACTCAGTTGCCACAAATCATATAATAGCAATATTAATGGAGAAATACCAACGAGGTAAATTGACTTCGATAAAGAAAGGGCACTCCGCGACCAACTACGTGGAAACATTCGCTCTAGCAACGTCCTTTGAACCAGAGACCATAACATCTGGCTTAGCAGAGGCGTACTTTAGCCAATATTTTTTTGAAAGCATTCTTAAAACTGTCGTGAAGTCAAAATATTAACAGATTAATAGCAAGTGGGCAACTTTCACTTTAAGTCAAATTCCATGTCTACAAGTGTACAAATACTAAACGACCACCTGATTAGATTTGGCCAATAAAGGAGGCAGTAAAGTGCGGGTCTCCTAACAAAAATGCTTTAATGATACAACACTTCTTCCCGAGGATGGGTATTGGAAAGGGATTCCCTAAATGGGCTTGGATGATACCGAACCATTGATTGACGAGATCAGTCTATCATAGATAAAAAACTATGATCATAAGTACTAAACCGCCCAGTCCAGACCATTGAACTATTAAACAATGGAGTCGTTGATATTAACCAACAAAAGTGGCAAAATCTAATTTAATTGCACACTTTTGTTCTAAACGAATATCAAAAAGGATTCACCTAGGACTTTAATTTGACATGAATATTTTGTAAAACTTTCGAGGTAGTGGTGAAGAATATAAAATAAAAATAATAATAAATATAATAAGAATATAATAATACGAAACGCAAGAATATTACATTCTTTTTGGGCTAAAATGACCCCCAAAAAATGCCAATAAAAAATCTACCGAAAGGACATAGTGTCTGACCAATTGCACTAAACGAAATGACTCATCAAGAAAATATGCTAAAATACCAGTGATTAAAAATAAGTTATTACGAACGTTAAAATGTAATCATCATTTAAGTCCCAAATAGGTTGAATG